CCCATCCCATCCCATCCCATCCCATTCTATCTCATCTTTCTTCTCCTTCAGCCATATCACACCAAAGTACAAAATTAAACAAGTGGTAAGAGCAGTCATCCTAATCTTGTTCTTCATTTTAGGGGGAAAGCATCCAGTCTTATGCCATGAAGTATGGTGTTAGCTGTTGGCTTTTCCTAGATGCCCTTTATCAGGTTGAGGAAGTCCCTTCTATTCATAGTTTCTTGAGTGTTTTTAATCATGAACACGTGTTTGATTTTGTCAAATGCTTTTTCTGCATCTATTGAGAGGACCATATGATATTTTTTCTTTTTAGTTGGCTGGTATAGTATATTACATTGATTCAAAATGTAGCATTTCAGATGTGTGTTGTATTTTTATTTCATTCAGTTCAAAATATGTATAATTCCTTTTCTTTGACTCATGGGTTATTTAGAAGTATGTTATCCAATATTTGGTGATCAGAGGAATATCATCCTGTAATTGATTTCAAGTTTAAACCATGTGATCTGAGAACGTACTTTGATTTGTCTTAAATTTGATCTCTTCAAATTTATTGAGACTTGTTTTCTGCCCAGAATATTTTCAACCATGGCTAATATCCATCCCATGTGCACTTGAGTAGAGTGTGTATTTTGCTCTTGCTGGTTAGAATGTTGTATAAATCTCAATTAGATCAAGTTGGTTGGTAGTATTGTTAGTTTTCTGTATCCTTGCTGATTTTTCTATCTTCTCAATTATTGAGAGGAGGTGATGACATTTCAAACCATTGTTATGGATTTGTCTATTTCTCTTTTCAGTTCTCTGTGCTTTGTGCGGTTTTTTTTTTACTTATAATTAACATACAATGTTAGTTTCAGGTGTACAGTATATTTGATTCAACAATTCAATACATTGCTGAGTGCTCACCACTATAAGTGTGGTCACCGTCTGTCACCATACGATGTTATACAATATTATAGACCATATTCTCTATGCTGTGCATTGCATCTCTGTGACTTACTTATTTTATAACTAAGAATTTGTGCCTCTTAATCCCCTTTATCCATTTCACACATTCCTTTACTTACCTGCCTTCTGGCAACTGCCAATTTGTTATATGTATTTAAGAGTCTGTTTACTTCTTTGTTCATTTGTTTTAAGATTCTGCATGTAAGTAAAATCAGGTGTTCTTTCTTTCCTTGTCTGACTTATTTCACTTAGCATCATACCCTCTAGGACCATCCACGTTATTGCAAATGGCTAGACCACATTCTTTTTTGTGGCTGAGTAATATTCCATTGTATGAATACATCATATCTTTTTTATCCATTCATCTATTGATGGGCACTTGGGTTGCTTCTATATCTCCGCTGTTGTAAATAATGCTGCAGTAAATATAGGGGTGCCTATAGTTTTTCGAATTAGCATTTTCATACTCTTTCTGTAAATACCCAGTAGCAGGATTACTGGATCATAAGGTATTTTTATTTTTAATTTTTTGAAAAACCTCCATACTGTTTTCCACAGTGGCTATACCAATTAACGTTCCCACCAACACTGCATAAGGGTTCCTTTTACTTTACATCCTCACCAACACTTGTTATTTCTTGTCTTTTTTATTCTAGGCATTCTGGCAGGTGTAAGGTGATGTCTTATTGTGGTTTTGATTTGCAGTTCCCTGATGACTAGTGATGTTGAACATCTTTTCAAGTGTTTGCGAGCCATCTCTTTGTCTTCTTTGGAAAAATACCTCTTTAGTTCCTCTGCCCACTTTTGAACTGGATTGTGTTTGGGGTG